CGCTGGTCACGCTCCCCGCCTGTCCGCGGGCACGCGCCGAAACCCGGACTGGGGGAGACGCGGGGCGTAGCTGCGGCGCCTCCTGGCGGACGAGCTAGTCCGTGGGAGGCCTCCAGGGGCTCAGCCCCTCCAGCTAGTCTCTGTGGCTCAAAGTCACTTGCCTGACCTTCAAGCGGACAAATGTGTCAGTCCATTCATCAGTCACCCGGTCATCACTTTCCTTCGTGTCCACTGGAAAGTCTGATTCTCCCAGTAGGTCCCCTCCCAAGAGAACCCTAAACCACTACCAATCAAGGGCTGAAGCTTTGGAGGACTTTTCCTGGGGTGGCCCTCTGGACCGTGCAGATCACAGCCCAGCCTCTGAGCCCCGATCCAATACTTTTGACGTTACATATCTGTCAGTCTTCACACATCCACTCTCCCTAGAATCTCTGCCAAGATTCTACCTGGGGTAGAAGGATCCCCACATTAGATATCAAAGGGAAAACTGCAGGAAAGTCACACACAGGACACTCAGAAAATGCATGATAATAACAGCTTTGTGTGTGTGTGTACCAGGATCAAACTTGGGACCTTGGCTTGTGAGCAGGCAGCGGCACCACTGAGCTAAATCCCTGGCCCAACAGCTATTTCTTGAGCGTCTAAATAGACGAATACTATATACCTATTATCCAAATTAATTCTCATTGAGGTAGTTATTAATTGTCCAACAGTCCTTCCTCACACTTTAGGATGAGTGATGGTAGTTTGCCAATTTTACATTAAAATGCTCCGCAGATACAGCTTAAATCTCTCCCTGTCCCTCAAGAATCCAACTACCAAGTCCCTCTGTGTTGGGCCAGGCCCTCCAGAAAACACATGCTGAGCTAAAGTTAGGGGCAACACCTGTGAAAGAGAAAGGGAAGTAAGTAGGATCAGACAAAGGGACCGACGTCTGACAAAGGCAGCATTCCAAAGCACTTGGCAGCCTGAAACAGGAAGATCGCCTCAAATTTGAAACCAGCCTGGGCTATACAGCAAGACCGTCTCCAAACAAAAAAGTCTATCATCATTATTTTGGGGGTTTCAACATAAAACCGTAAAACCAAATTCTCAAAGAAACATTTCCTGACTCCTGTTACTGAGATTATTTTTAGCACCTAGAAGCACTCATCATGATTATAGCTAAGTAAGCATAGTGGCCATGTCTATAATCCCAGCACTCAGGAGGCTGAGGCAGGAGGATTGCTGCAAGTTCAAGGCCAACCTGGGCTAAATAGTAAGACCCTCCTCAAATCAAAGCAAAACAAAAATGGTTATAACTGAGTAATTTTTATGTACTTGCTGTTTGCATCTGCCTCCTGCTCGACTCTAGACTTTAGAAAGATGGAGACCATCTTTGTTTGCTGGCCTATCCTTGGCACAGGGCACTGTACACAGTAGGTGCTCAGTAAAAACACAGTGTGAATAACTTTATGTGTGTGTGGTTTTGGGGATTAAACTCAGAGCCATTGTACTAAGCTACACTCCCACGAGACAATGTCTCATTAAACTGTTAAACTGCCCAGGCTAGGCTTGAACTTTCGATCCTCCTGTCTCAAAAAAATGTAAAGAGGGTTGTGGATGTAGCTCAGTGTGAAGGCCCTGGGTTCAAGCTCTGATACCATTTACAAAATTCAAAAAGTAAGTGGAGTTATACAGTCTGAACTCTTTTGGAGAAGGAGGGGCTGGAGGAGTCTGGCTTTTGTTTCTGTGCAATGGAGATTGAACCCAGGGCATTCACATGCTCAGTTGTGCTCTACCACTGAGCTACATCCCCAGCTACCCCCCCCCCACCAACAGGGTCTCACTGTGCAGTCCAGGTTGGCCTTGAACTCACTATAGACCTACCTGGGCTAGCCTTGAACTCATGGTAATACTCCCGCCTCAGCCTCCTGAGTGCTGGGATTATAGGCGTGCACCTCTCCCACTTCCACTCTCTGTTTTTCTCTCTCTCTCTCTTTCTCTTTCTTTCTGTACTAAGGATTGAACCTAGGAAGAATTAGCTCCATTTCTGTCCCCTTCCCCACCTTTGTTTTTTTCTTGAGACCGGGTCTCACTATGCACCTCAGGCTGTCCTCGTCAAAATCACAATGTAGCCCCCAGACTGATTTCAAACTCCTGGTGATCCTCCTGCCTCAGTCTGCCCGGTGCTGGGATTACAGCTGTATGCCAGCACACTAGGCCCACCAGCCCTGTTTAAAATTTGTATTTTGAAGAGCTGGAAGTGTGGCCCCATGAGAACACTCGCCTAGCATGTTTGAAGCCCTGAGTTCAGTACCCAGTGCCACTAAAAAAATAAAAGAAAACTCTGAGGCAAGACTTCACTAAGATTCCCAGGCTAGCCTTGAACTTGTGATCCTTCTGCTTCAGCCTGAGTATCTGGGATTGCGGGCGTGGGCCACCACATCCTGCTGAGGTCTAGCTTCTTTGGCTCAGTGTAATGTTAGTGAGACTCATCCACGGTGTGTGTGTGTATCAGCTGTTCTCCCTTTTCGCTAAGGAGGAGGACTCCACTGTATGGAGGAGCCAGCATTTGCTGCTCTGATATCCTGGTGACGGACATAAAGGTTGTTTCCCAATTTGGGCCGCAATGAATACAGCTGCTGTGAACATTTGCATAGAAGTCTCTGTGAAGACATATGGTTTCATTTCTCTTGGGTAAATACCTAAGAGAAGAACAACTGAGTTGCAAAGTAACATTCAAAAAATGTAAATTCAGACTCCTCCGTCCCCAGTTTAACCACTGGTTTCCTGTTGCACTTGGAATAAAATACAAACTCTTCACAAGGTCTCCAGGGCTGGGCCTCGAATACGGTCTTCTCCACACTCCCCGAGTTCTCTGTGCTCCTTTAAAGTTTAGAGTCCCCCTTCCTGGAATGTTCTTCGCAGATCTTGGCTTGGCCGAATCAGAATCATCTCTGTGGGTTCTGGACGTTTCATCTAAAGTCTCCCTGACGCTTGGGTGGTGTTGCAGATCTGTAATCCCAGCACTCTGGGAAGATTTCAGGTTAGAGCCCAGCTTGGGCAATTTAGCAATTTAGTAAAACTTCATCTAGAAATTAAGAAATGAAAGGTCTGGGGGGCCAGGATTTAGTTCAGTGGCACCATGCCTGTCCCACAAGGTCCTGAGTTCAATCCCCAGTACTGAAAAAAGAAAAGAGAAGGACAGGAAAGGAAATTAGAAGGCTGGGGATATAGCTCAGTGGGAAAACCTTGGGTTCAATCCTTAGTAGAGAGAGAAAGGCAAAAGAAAGAGAGAGAGAGGGAAAGGAAGGAAGGAAGGAACAGAAAAGAGCAGAGAGTGCCAGAGACATAGCTCGGCGGCAGAGCACATTCTTAGCATGCACAAGGCCCTGGGCTCCATACGTAGCACACACACAAGAAAAGTGACTGAGACCTGGAAACTGTTTTCTGGAAAAGCGCTAATGCTGACCTGGTTTTTGAAGAAAGCGACTGCACGAAGACCATTCCGAAAGGAAGGGCTGCTGTTCAGAAAGGTGTGCTGAGGGCCCCAGAACGGGAGCGGAGCAGGAGAGTCAAGATTGAAAATTTATTTCAAAGAGGAGTCATGTGGCCCAGAGGGTGGAACCTAGCAGGAACTGCAGACCTCAGAGGCTACCTCTAGAGTTCAGCAATCCTAAGACAGACGTGGGTTCAGATCCTGCCTCTGCCAGCTGCCAACCATGCAGTCTTGGGCCTGACACTTTATTCATCAGAGCCCCGGTTTTCTTATCCAGAAAATGGGAGCGGGGTAGGCCTGTGGCCTGGAGCAAGTGGCTGGAAGCACTTGGAACTTCAGTTGCCTGAACAGCAAAGTCTGTATAATAAAATGCACACTTTCCATGCTTGTGTGGATTCAACAACAGCTGAAAATGGCTGAGAAACTGTAACCTATAATTATCAAAGAAGCAGAGGGCCAGGGATTTAGCTCAGTGGTGCCGCCGCCTGCCTCGCAAGTCCCAAGGACCCAAGTTCAATCCCCGGCACCCCTCCCCAAAGAAGCAGAGTATAGTGGTGCACACCTGTAGTTCCAGCACTAGTGAGGCTGAGGCAGGAGGATCGCTGGGAGTTTGAATCTAGCCTGGGCTACACGGTGAGTTGAAGGCCAGCCTGGACAACAAAATGAGACCCTGTCTCAAAAAACAAAAAACAAACAAAAAGTCATCAAAGAATCCAAGAGGGACTTTGAGGCTAGAAGAGAAAGGGACAAGTTTGGAGATTTATCCAGGCACCAAAGGGGTGCAGAATCAAGGTTGTGATTAGTAGTAATTATTATTACATAAAATTGTTTACTATTTAAAACATTTACTAACATATGGGAAGCTAAATATTAGGTCTTGGTCGGGGATGGGACTTGAACCCAGGCCCCACGGAGCTTCATTTTGAGACAGGCTCTCCCTAAGGCTGTCCTCAAACTTGCTATTCTCCTCCTGCCTCAGGCTCCCAAATACCTAGGATTGCAGGTATGTGTAGCCATGCCAGTTTGCCTTTTACATTATTACCTGATAGAATCCTGTGAAAATCCACTGGAGGTTTTACACCTACTTTACTGGCTGGGGAATTGAGGCTTATAAACAAAATCACTTGCACATGGCCATAGCTAGGAAGTAGACATGTCCTGACAGGGACCCAGGACCATCTGACTGCAGGCTGTCTCATGGGGTTTGTTCCACAGTCCCTTGGCAATGCGGGCTGCTGGTGATTTAGACACATCCCTTGGGAAAGGCTTGACTGTCTCCGAATTTGAGGGAGGGCACAACCCTAGTCACTGTCCTACTTAAAGTCTTTGTAACGTCTGCAAGTCATGATGCCGCATGCCTGTAATCCTAGCACTCGGGAGGCTGAGGCAGAAGCATCGCTGAGAATTTAGAGCCAGCCTGGACTACATAGTGAGACCCTGTCTCAAATAAACAAAAATCTATGAAAATCTCAAAAAAAAATCAACAGCGTATCCCCAATGACTTTCCACCTCTGACCTCTTTACAGGACCCTGTACCACATGTCTTGTGTACTTTTTCCACAGAGAATGATTCCCCCTGCACCTTGCTGGGGTTTGGACACAGGCCCCTGCACATGAGAGTGCATACTATGCTACCGAGCTGCAGCCCCAGCTGAGAATAACTCAGCTCCTCCAGGCCCCTGCAGGAGCTGAACCACTGCTAAGATCCCTCCTACACTCTCTGTCCTGGTTATCTCCTGCCCTCCATTTTGGAGCGTGCCCACTGCCTCCTCCAGGAAGCCTTCCCTGACTGCCACCCTGGCTTGCAGAGTGAATTCCACAACCACCGAAGCACTTCACTGTGCCCCAGGCACTCCCCGGAGCCCTCCTCCTGTGGCATCTTGTTTAATACCACAAACACTCTGGCAGTGGGTCTCAGCTTGAAGGTACACTGGAATCACCTGGGCAGCTTTGAATTGTATTTTTTTTTCCCCCATATCCAATCAGCAGACTTTCTGATTTAATTGGTCTGGAATATATTTTGTGAATCCATTTTTTGTCTGTCTGTTTGTTTTTTGAGACAGGGTCTCACCATGTAGTCCAAACTGGCCTCAAACTCATGGCAATCCTCCTGCCTCAGCCTCCTGGGTGCTGGGATTATAGGTATGACCCATGACACTCAGCCTAGGAACCTAGGATTAATATCATATATATAAATAAATTATATATATATATA